ACATTTTCAAGTGTACACGGTATATAAGATAAAGTCAGGTAGTCTTCTTGACATTGTGTTGCTTTGCGGCTTTTGCAAGAAAGAGATCCAGCCCTGAAGATGTCTGTCATGTGGCATGATGGACGAAAGCTCAATCAAGAAAAGTTGGGTTTCGAGGAATCGCTTGTTTCATAATTGTTGAGCTTACTTCCATTTCGAGTGAAAGTGTTGGTTGAAGAGACTCGAAGTTCGGTTCCACCAGAAGACGACGGCGCATTCCTCTTGACCAGCTGTCGATTGGCTTTGCTGGAACATTCATGCTGACTCTGTTTCCGAGGCAATCTCTTTCGATTCCGGTTAAAAAGTGCTAAGCTTTCGTCCGTTATTTGATGAGCATCATCAAAGTAAGGTATCATCGTCACAAGCGAATTCAATCTAACGCGGTTTCTTGTGACGATGCTACCTTGTTCTGATGATGTTCGTGACCCGAAATGGAAGTAAGCTCAACAACAGTTCAGCCAGTCTTGAGCTGACGCGATGGAGGGTGTCTCGGAGGCTGTGTCAATCTGAACAGGGTGGTGGAACAACCCTAATCAGCCGTTGTCTTCTGTTGCCATCAACGCTTGATTCTTTTCTTCCGGCAGACAACAAAGCAAAACGGCCAAACGGCCGTTTATTGAGCTGTTTCTATGCGCTAAAACGTGCAGTCAACATGGCAAAGTGGCGGGCTAGCAACACTGGCCAGATGAGGTGTCGTCTGGGCAAGTGTATTTGTGTGACATGTTTTGTCGTCTCGTGGCCACTTGTCAAGAACATCGTGTCGGTGGAAAGTCGTCAGAGAGGCTCCAGTGGCTCGTTGGACCAAAAAGCAAAAGTGTTTCTGGCCGATTGAGGCGAGGACCGAGTGACAGATCAAACACATTTCACGGCGTCTGTCACAGTCCCGACGGGATGCCAATTCTGTGACGAATGCTCTCGAGGAATCCTCAGTCAAGCCAGTTAATTCGCTCTTTTTTGGGCGTCTCTTCTGCCCAGAAGTGTCGTCACTGTCAGGCGATTGGTAGACGAGCTCGAATCGAGTCGTGGAGACGAGGACGATTTCGATGGCAGCAAGGCGCGGACGGATGGAAAAATGTGAGGTTCCCTCGGAAGGAGTTGGGATAATGCCCGATTGGGAAGAGATGTGCGTGAATCAGCGATTGTCTGGCCGTTGGCTTGCCCGCTTTCAGTCGGCCGGCAGAAGTGTCTCGGCGTAACATTCTGCCAGAAGGTCGGAGGGGACAGGGTGTTGAGAAAATCGAGCAATTAAGTTGGCGATTCCTTTTCCACAACACGCAAGGCAAAGATTCGGCCGAGTCAGAGTAGTGGAAGGATTTTATGCAAAAGGGATGCGATGAAGAGAGAAAATGCTGAAAAACGTGCAACAGCACTTCTGCGAAATGGAATATATAAATTAGGATTTCCAAAGAATGACTGATTTAAGAAGCAAGTACAAAGTGAAATTCGAGTTAAATAGGAATATACTTTTAAAATGTAAAAATTAAATAGGGCAACTGTGCATAAATTTGTGCATAACATAGCGACTAAGTTAAAAGTAGAAGAAAATAAAATGACGGTATAAAATAAAAAAATCTAAATGAATAATAAACTAAAATAAAGAAAAAATGAGGGTAAGCAATTAAGAGGAATGGCATTGAGAAAATAGAGATAAGAGGTGAGAATAAATGAAATGAGATTAGAGTAAATAAGATATGAAGACCAAGATGTTGTGACCTCTGGTATGGTCGCAGTCTCCTTTCGATTTATAGACATGGGTTGACCTCGTTGTCGCAACTTGGTCTTGTTGTCAGGGCGACTTAGTAGAACGTACCAACTCCGAAGTCGCCTGCCATAG